GGTGTCTTTCCTTCCATTCACATCCCCTGACACGGGAACCCTGACTCTCTTCCCTTCCTTTGGGCCTCCCATCTCTACACCTTAATGTCAAGGTTTTAGATCTTGGGCTTCCAAGGTCTGTAAGGACTCCACTGTTGGCAGGCATTGGTAGAGCGGAGCACCTACTGAGACACAAACCCTTTGTGGCTAATAAAGATGATTTCTTCTGAGAATCCCATGGGCTTAAGCTGAAAACAGCCGAGAATAAGAGGTTCCCTGAGGGCACTGGGCTCACGGACCTGGGTGAGGCCGGAGGCAGAACTGGACTCTTTTTTTTTTTTTTTGTATTAGGGATTGAACTCAGGGGCACTCCACCACTGAGCCACATCCCCAGCCCTACTTTGTATTTTATTTAGAGACAGGATCTCACTGAGTTGCTTAGCGCCTTACTGGTGCTGAGGCTGGCTTTGGACTCGTGATCCTCCTGTCTCAGCCTCCCGAGCCACTGGGAGGACTCTTTTATTAAACATTTTTTTTTTTGGTAATTGTAAATGGACAGAATGCCTTTATTTTATTTGTTTGTTTTTATGTGGTGCTGAGGATCAAACTCAGTGCCTCAGACATGCTAGGCAAGTGCTCTGCTACTGAGTCCCAGCCCCAGCTCAGGGCTGGATTCCTGATAGACACAGCTGTGAGTGCAAAGGCATTCCATGCAGACTTTTTTTTTTTTAATATTTTTTAGTTGTTTAAGTATCTTTATTTTTTATTTATTTATATGTGGTGCTGAGGATTGAACCCAGTGCCTCACACATGCTAGGCAAGCGCTCTGCCACTGAGCCACAACCCCAGTGCCCCATGCAAACTTTTTTTTTTTAATATATATATTTTTTAGTTTTAGGTGGACACAATATCTTTATTTTATTTTTATGCGGTGCCGAGGATCGAACCCAGTGCCTCACACATGCCAGGCGAGCGCGCTACCACTTGAGCCACATCCCCAGCCCAGCCCCATGCAAACTTTTAAAATGACTATGAAGAGTTGGGCATAGTGGCGCATGCCTATAATCCTTGCAATTTAGGAGGCTGAGGCAGGAGGATTGCAAGTTCAACGTCAGCCTTAGCAACTTAGTGAGGCCCTGTATCAAAATAAAAAAAATAAAAAGGGCTGGGTCTGTAACTCAGTGGTTGAGTGCCCCCTGAGTTTCATTCCCAGTATTAAAAAAAAAAAAAAAAAGACATTAGGAGTCTGGGCGTGGAGGTACATGCTTGTAGTCTCAGCTACTGTTTGAGCCCAACCAGGGCAAAATAATTAAGACCCTGTCTTAAAAAAGGAGAGGGAGGAGAATGAGGAGAGGAAGGAGAAGGAGAGGAGGAAAAGAAAAAGAAATTAAGGCTCTTTCCCCCTTAAGCCCGATCTCAGTTCACCCAGAGAAAAAGAGCAATGATCCCACATGCCAACAAGTCACTGGGTCATGAGAAGATTCCTAAGTCCCCCTCACCTGTCTCGGGCTCTAGAAACAGCAGAGGGCTGGCTGCTCAAGACCCAATACTCCTCTCCTTCTTTCTCCTGAAGCAGTGAGGCCTGGGCTAGGACTTTTCCAGGATAACACCAAATCTTCTGGCAACTCACTCAGCAAATGTCACATCCTATTTATTGAGTGCTAGCTCTAAGGGACACTTTAAATGACCAAGAAATGACCCCACATAAATGAATAATAGGTAAAATGTATTAAAAAATGACCATGAGGGCTGGGGATATAGCTCCATTGGTAGAGTGCTTGCCTTGCATGAAAGGCCCTGGGTTCAATCCCCAGAACCAAAAAAATAAAAATAAAATGTGACTATGAGCCAGGGAATGGGCTTTGTATTTGTTTTATTTCTCATGATAACTCCAGAAGATAGAATCTATTTTACAGATGAGAACTGTGGCTTGAGGTGAAGAGTTTTCTCTAAGGTCATACAGCTAATAATTGGCAGGGCGGAGAATCACACTCAGATAATTTGGTTCCAAAGGGAGTGCCCTAAGAGGTGAAAGCTTCCACTGCCCCGGGGGCCCTGGGAGTCCTGGGAGCCCTGTCCAGCTCAGCCCAGGAGTAAGAAAAAGGGCTGCCTGCAGGAGGTGATGCTTGAGCCAAGCTCCGGAGCAGCAATTAGCCAATTGGCTAAGGGGACAGAGGATGGTTTGGTGGTACAGGTAATAGAAGCAGTCAGCATATAGGCCCCAGGGCAAGAATGATGGCATTGTGGCAAAAGATGCTCTGGATTCAATGTGGAATGTAGCAGCAGGCTGAAAGTAGCACCCAGATCCTAAAGGGCCCTGGATTTAGACAAAATCCTGAAGTCAATGAAGGGCTTTTAACAGGCAAGTTAACAAAAATCAGCTTTTCTAGCCAGGTGCAGTGGCGGTGCCTGTAATTCCAGTGGCTCAGGAGGCTGAGGCAGGAGGATTGAGAGTTCGAAGCCAGCCTCAACTCAGAGAGACCCTGTCTCTAAATAAAATACAAAATAGGGCTGGGGATGTGGCTCAGTGGTTAAGTGCCCCTGAGTTCAATCCCCAGTACCTCCCCCACTCTCGAATCAGATTTCCTTTCTTTTTATTTATTTATTTATTTTTTTGTGGTACAAGGGATCAAAACCAGAGTCTAACACATGCAAGGTGAGTACTCAACAGAGCTAAGATCCCAGCCCTTTTTACTTTTTATTTTGAGTTAGGGTCTTGCTCAGTTGCACAGGCTGGCCTTAAACTTGCAATCCTCCTGCTTCATTTTCCTGAATAGCTGGGACTTACAGGCGTGTACCACTTGCCCAGCCCAAAGCAGCTTTTCTTCTTGACAGTGACTCTGGCTGTGGTGAAGAGATGACTATGCTGCAGGCAGTGTAGCAGAGCTGACCTGGAGTTGGTGCCTTGGGTTTGAATCTCAACAGTTCCACTTAAAAGTTACACGTGTTGCCTTTTCACATCTTTGAATCTCAGTATCTTTAATTGAAAATGAGAATATATTCATCTTACAGATTGTTAGGGGACTGTGTTTAGCACAATTGTACCTTGGCACATAGTAGGTAATCAATAAACATTAGCTGCTTTGTAGTAGTGGGGAGGTGTTGAGCAGGGCCATGCTTTTGGATGAGGGAGCTGTATCTTTTTGACTTTGCTTTCTACAAACTTCCCCCTTTGATAGCCTGAGGCCAGAATCTTATCAGGGACGTTGACATTATTTTGCCCAAGGTCTATCTGTTTCAAAAGAGATAAATGTTCCTGAAGTGCTTAGCAAGGACCAGGCACACACTAATTGCCTGATGCTTGTAGCTATTAAGTTAGGAAATGAAACTAGCTCAGAAAAGAATAACAATTAAGCAATTATCAGTTTGTTATCACCCTAGTGTAAATGAGAAGTCAAATCTTTTTCTGGGAACAGGTTTTGATTGGGATAAAGAAGCCTGAGATCTCAGAACATGAAATGAGAATCTGGGGAACTTAAGGACCTCTTGGGAATGTTTTCCAGGCAAGACTGGAGAGGCTGCAGAAATGCAATCCTAGATAACAAGGTGTTACAAATCCAAACGATTTAGGATTCCTCAGTAGGAAGTAGCTGCTGCCTTCCTGTGTGGAGACGGGCATGAAGTTTTCTTTTCACCAGGGAACTGTGGAGCCTCAGCCAACAGTGGTGGCAGTGGTGGTGGTATCTGCTCTTTTATCCCAGTGGGCGCTTCTGGGGACCCCAGGGGCTGTCATGAATTAAGCATCCACTACATGTAAAGCTTTAATTAAAAAAAAAAAAAAAAACAAATACAAGGCAGGCGGACAGGGTGAGGCAGTGTCGCAGGAGTCAGAACTGGGCTCTAACCTTGACGGTCAACTATTGTCCACACGACCCTGGCAAGTCTCCAGTTCGTTTTGAGCCTCAATTTCCTCGTGTGTGTGTGTGTGTGTGTGTGTGTGTGTGTGTGTGTGATGGTATTGAGCCTCTCTTGGCCTCAGTTTCTCCACTTGGACTTCACAGGACTGCATGAGCTAGTGAAGGCTCAGTGCCATGCCCGATGGCCACCGGACTACTCCGAGATCCTGAGGCTCCTTTTCCCTCAGTGCTACTGAGCGCTCGGGACGAGGCTCTTGCATGGGGCTGGGTGTGCGGGGTGAGGGTGGGAGTGATCGTGATGGAGCCAGCGTGGGGATTAAAAGACCTTATCAACAAGTGTTGCCCCAGCATCCGACGGACGTGAGGAGAAGACCATGAGCTGCCCACCGAGGGGCGCGCCAGTCCTGGGGTAGGCTTTCCGAAGAGCCCATCCAAAGCCCTCGGTTAAGATGCTGACTAGATAAGGCGAGTCAGATCAACTTGGGACCAGGCAAGTTTCCTCCCAAAGAAAGTGGAATTCCGATCCAGGCTTGGCTGGCTCAGGCCCAGCCCAGCTGAGTGACCTTGGACCGGTCACTTTTCCTCCCCCGGCCTCCTCATTCCAATTCCCTCCCAGTGAGTACGGACAGGGTGTGGACATAATGGATGTGAAATGCGTCGCCAAGGGCCGCAGACTGGTATTTGTTATGCTAATAAGTGCCCGCGGCGGGCGGGTTCCTATCCTCCCGCTTTCGCTCAGGTTAAGCGGTTCTTTCCGCAGGAACTGGGGTTTGTCGCCTCGCCGCCCCTGCGGGCAGGGCTCCGCGGACCGCAGACTCCGAGGCCGTTACCATTGTTCTTCGAGGCTGGGCCGCAGGGGAGGGCTCTCGCCGGCCAGACCTCGCCTTTGGTCTCTCCCTCCGCCCCGCACTCGCCGGCGGCGAGCCTGAGAAGCCCCCTAGCCGATCTTTCCCGAGGAAGGCAGTCCGTCCTAGAGCGCTCCCGAAAGGAGACCGAAGACGCGCCCGAACGCTTCCGAAGAATCCCGACCGCTCTCTGTCTCCGGAAAGAGCCGAAGGTGCTTCCCATCCTCGGCCTACCGAGTCATTCCGAAAATACCCGAAGTTTTCCGAGCGGCCGTCCTGCCGGACTGCTGGAGGCGGCCGCAGCGCCATGTTGGATGCTCTGCTCGTTGAGTGAAGAAAATCCGCCGGCATCGCCTGAGCCCCGCTACCGAGAAGGGCGCCGCTTCCCCCGGGGAGGGGGATAAAGACCCCCCGCCGCCGGCCCATGAGGATATTGCCGTGAAAGGTCCGGTCTCTCCGCCTCCTGCCCCCGCCGGGTCCGGCCCCCCCCCCTGGGGTCGCGTTGTCACGGAGACCGGCAGCCGGTGGTGCTGGCCCGCGGGGCGGCTGCTGCTGCCGGCGGCGGCGGCGGCGGCGGCGGCGGCGGAGGGCGTGTGTGACCGGCCCCGGCCCCCTCCTCCTCCTCCTCCCAGCCTCCCCCCGGCCCCCCGCTCCCGCCGCCTCCCCGGGTCAGCCCCCAACCCGCCCCCCCGCTGCCCCCGGCCCCTGCACCCCGGCGCGCCCGGTCCCGCTCTGGGGGGGTTGGTGGCTTCGCTTTGCCATGAGTTTACCGCAGAAACCGGCTCTGAAATCAGGCTCAGCGGCTGCAGCAGGAACCGGACCCGGCACCGGAGCGGCGGCGGCGGCGGCGGCGGCAGCGGCAGCAGCAGCAGCAGCGGTACCGCCTCCTCACCCGGCGGCGGCAGCAGCGGCGGCGGCGGCGGCAGCAGCGGCCCCTCCTCACCCGAACATCAGGGCCCTCCAGACCCAGGCGCCCCAACAGTATCCTTTTCACCTTCCTGCCGGCCCTTCGGCTCTCGTTGCCGCAGCCCGGGGGGACCCCGCAGTCCGGGGGGACCCTCTTGCCCGCCGCCACCCTCCAGCCAGGAAAGGGACTGCCGCTCAAGCCCAGGCACCGGGCTTGGCCGGAGCTTTTGGGGTTCCCCGGCAGCAGCACTGCGGGGCCACTGGGACCCTCCGCAGTACGGTGAAAACTAGCTCCACTCGGCCATGCTTCTGCAGCCCTTCCCTTTTAGATCTGGGGAACCTTCTCTCTTGTCGCTGCCTCCTCTTCCTCCTGTGGCCCCCCTCCCCTTTATTGGGCAGAATTTGCTGGTGCCTGGGATCGACCCTGCAGGCAAGGCTTTCCTCTGGTTGTTGTGAGGATACACACCCTCCTACTACTCCTCTCCCTTCAGCTCCCTTTGCAGCGGGCCTTGGTGGGCTCCCCGAATCATTATTAATACATAATAAACTTTATTGGTAAATTTCCTGTTTGAAACCAATCAGCTCGTTCCCGAGGTAAGTTGGATTTTCAGTCTACGGTGTAACGTACAAAAAAGCATTCCCTCTGGCTAATGTTTTTTAACGATTGGGGGAGTTGTGATGTGGTTTGTGGTGGAGCGCGATCTAAGGAGGAAATGTTACACCGGACGCTTCCCTGTCTTTGACCTTTTTAAAGGAAGAGGAAGTTAACTGACATTACCCATCACCCCCAAAAGTCTCACTGCTTGGAAGGCTTGTGTTAGGACGAATATTTCTAAAGGGCTTTAATTTGCTCTTCGTAGGCCTGATGTTTTACAGGGTAGCCGGGCTCCTGGAGGAAACGCTAGTATTGTGTCTTACCTTATTTGCTCGAGTGTGGAATTTTGGACAGCTTTGATTGAAAAGTCTTGGTGATGAGGTGTTTTAGTCAAAAACTATCTGAGGAAGGTAGAACATTTTATTAATGAATTCCATAGAGGTATAGAAAGGTGTTACCTACCGAGGGTAGCATTTCATGCACCTCCTCCTTCTCTCATCCCTTGTATTTCTGTTAATCAATAATAATTGGATGTGTTTTGGGGTTTGAATCATGATGAATTTGATTTTTAGAGATAGTAGGATGTTTGAGTAAATAACTCCTCCGAGGGCCACAGATTATTTCACAATCTAGTTTGATTCTTGTCTGTATCAATTACTTTGAGAAGGAAAAGGCATCTCCCTTCCAGAGTCATTTCAGGTCATTGGTTTTTGTCAAGTGTCATTTTCTCTGTTCTTTAAATATTGTTAGTCCACATTTTTCAATGCAGGCATTGTGGTGCAGAGGAAAGATAAGTTCCATTCCAGTGTGATGTGTGTACTGATTTCACAATGTTTTTATCTTGCATGATTCTGTTCAATTAAGAATTGTTTACCTATGAGAATGTTGAGTGTTGCTCCTGGAAAACCTGGTTAGTTTTGATTAATATCCCTAATTGTTTTACTGTGAGAGAAGGTTGATTGGCTTGCCTACTTCAAGGTAGAGGTCAGTGCTGGATTTCCTAAGTACTTCTATCTTCCATTAGTACTTTGTGAGTTTTAAGTTTTTTTCTAATATCAGTTTTTTCCCCCTTATTTTCCATACTCTTGGGTAAGACTGGAAGTTTCTGTATTGTGTCACCAAGTGCATTATTCATTATCTGCATCTTTGAGATGTTTTGGCAATTAAATGGAAGTAATAAGTAGGACTGCATTGCTGACTATGACAGTGCTTGGTGAATTGGGTAGCTTCCTAGACACAGAGACTGTGATTTGAGTGTTTTTTAAGTTTGCTTTTCTCAGTAGTTTTTCGGGAAGAGAGGACTTCTAAGAGCTCTGAGTTGGTTGTAACAGAAGTAGTTACTAGTTCTGCAACTTAATTTTCCTTTGAATAAAAGAAACAGTTGTTAAAGATAAATTTAAGATATTATTTTCAGTGGGGATCAGTTTTAAACTTATCTAGTATATTAGATACTTAGTTTTATGTAACTTGAAGGTTTAATTTTGTCTCATGTCATTGAATCTAAAATTAATTTTCCTCTTGATGTATATTCTTCAACTCTGTTACCTTCCTTTCCCTTTGCTTTATGTACTGAAAGGTTACAATTGCTAAAATATAAACACATTATATAAATAGTAAATGAGTTAGAGGTTACAGATTTCATCAGAACACACTAGTGGGGAAATGATATCAACTGGTAATGGAAACTGGTTAAAAATGGATTGAAATAGAGCAGTTCTGTTTTTCTAACCTGAGGGAATGTGGGAATTTGTATTTAACACAGTGGTCATCATGTGATTAGTTGATAACATTGAAGCATCCAGGCTCGAGTGCAGAACTAGAGTTGCTTTTTCCATAGCTTGAATAGATCAGTTCCTCAAAATATATGGGTACAGCTGTTTGCATCAAATTAACGAGTTCAGACATTTTTAATATATATAAATAGGAGCGAGAGAGTCATATGGCAAGGTGTCCTTCATTTGTACTTAAGTGTTCAAGTGACAAATCATAAAATGAAGGGAAATGTTAGCAGTAATGAATTTGAATGTAAACTGGAACCTGCTTAAGTAGGCATCAGTTTTGCATGGCGGGACCCATAAAACCATTTCAAGTAGAAATGACCTCTTTGACTGCGAAGAGGCAGAAGATGGGGCTTGGTAGATAGTAGGGGCTGGAAGAAGAAAACTCTGATATGAAAAATGCTAAAACCAAGGGAGAAATATGCTTAGAATTTTGATAACATAAGCCGACATGGAACTTAGAGTTTTTATTAAATTGTCACTTCAAAATATTTGCATTGAAGTCAGACACAGTGGTACATGCCTGTAATTCCAGCTGCTTGGAAAGCTGAGGCAGGATTGCAAGTTCAAAGCCAGCCTGGGCAATTTAGGGAGACTCTCTCAAATTTAAAAGGACCAAGGGATGTAGTTTAGTGGTAGAGTGCCTGCCCAGCATTTGTGAGACCTAGGATTCTATCCCTAGTAATGGGGGAAAAAAACTGCTGTGACATCTGCTTACCCCAACCTATTAAGAGGTTGAGGGCTGGGCCCGATGGTGCACACCTATAATCCCAGTGGCTTAGGAGGCTGAGACAAGAAGATTCTAAGTTGAAAGCCTCAGCAAATTAGTGAGGCCCAAAGCAACTCAGTGAGAGCCTGTGTCTAAATAAAATACAAAATAGGACTGGGCATGTGGCTCAGTGGTAGAGTTCACCCTGCCCAAAAGAAAAAGAGGTTGAGAGAGGCTGTGTTGAGAATATTTAACATTTTTTGGGGGGGGTTGGTGATTTAACCACTTTGACTTTTTTTTTTTTTTTTGTGCTGGGAATGGAAGCCAGGGCCTAGCACATGCTAGGCAAGTGCTCTACCAATGAGCTAAACCCCTAATCCTTTAAATTTTTTTTTTTTTTTGGTACCAGGGATTGAACCCAGGGGTGCTTACCCACTGAGGCTGGCTTTGAACTGTAGATCCTCCTGCCTCAGCCTTTCAAGCCTCTGGGATTACAGGTGCATGTAACCGGCTTGATTTTGTTTTGAGGCTGGGTCTCCTTAGTTGCTCAGGCTGGCCTCAAACTTGGGATCAATTTTGGAATTGATTGAATTTGTTATCCTTTTGTCTCAGTGTCTGGAATAGCTGGGATTATAAGCATGTACCATCGCACTTGGCTCAACTTTTACATTTTGATGAAAGCTGCTTTGACCTTTTCCACAGAAAATTGTCCATACACAGAAAATCTGGTTTGGATTTTTCAGGGCATTCTTGGGTCCCTGTTAAAGGTTTAACTCTTTAGACTGAAACTGGTCATCCTTCAGATTATCAAGACAAATGAGTTTGAATTCAGGTGCCCAAATAGTTTTTACTTAAACAGAACAATTTTAAGTCTATTATGAACACAAAGCTTTTTTCTTTATATGAAAAGACTTCAGAGTGTAATATCTCTCAGGGCTGTAGACATTTCTGGGGAGTCTAGTTGCTGTTTGGGGGCAGGCAGCCAGATTGATGAAGAAAATTAGGCTGGGTAAGGTGGTGCACACCTGTAATCCCAGAGGCTCAGGAGGCTGAGACAGGAGGATTCTGAGTTCAAAGCCAGCCTCAGCAATTTATCGAGGTCCTAAGCAACTCAGTGAGATCCTGTCTGTAAATAAAATACAAAATAGGGCTGGGGATGTGGCTCCGTAGTTGAGAGCCCCTGAGTTCAATCCCTGGTAGCCCTCTCCCCAAGAAAAAAAATCAGTGCGTTCTTTGAAGGAACTAAATTTGTAAAAGACCTGTGTCAACCAGAAAATGGCTGTGTCTTCAGCTGTTTTGTGATAGATATATGATATTATTATTTTGTACTGGCAATAGAACCCATGGGTACTTTACCACAGACTATATATTTCCATCCTTTTTATTTTGAAACAGGGTCTTGCTAAGTTGCTTAGAGTCTCACTAAGTTGCTGAGGCTGGCCTCAAACTTACCATCCTGCTGCCTCAACCTCCTCAGTTCCTGGGATTATAACAAGTACGTGCTAACTCTGTTGTGCATCTAGTCTGGGAAGAAGGAATTAGGGATTCCTAGAAGAAGTTGACATCTGAACTAAATTAGATGCAGTGTGCCACTACACCTGGCTGATATATGTGATTAAAAACCAATATTCCTGTTGCTGTGTTTTTTTTTCTTTTGTATTATAGTTTTCCTTTTTTTTAAAAAAAAAATGTTTTTAGTTGTAGATGGACACAATACCTTTATTTTGTTTTTTAGTTTTTTTATGTGATGCTGGGGATTGAACCCAGTGTGTCATGTGTGCTAGGCAAGTATTCTACCACTGAGCCACAACCCCAGCCCTATAGTTTTTCTTTTTTTTTTTTTCACCTTCTGTTGATTTTCAGTTTTATCTTACAGGTTGAAGCCAGTAATGTTTGCTGTATTCTTTTTTCCTCTTAGCCAAAGCTAGAGCTAAAAAATAACATTAGTAGCAATAATAATAATATCCATTTATTGAGTGCCTACTATCTAGGA